GGCATGGGACCGTCCCCCCCCGCCATGATCATCATGGGTCTCTTTTTCGCCGCCTTCAACAACTATCTTATCTTCACTACCTATTTCTTCCAGGACTTCCAGGGACTGTCGCCGCTGAACACCATGCTGCGGTATATCCCCACCGGTGTGACAGGCGTCCTGGTGGCTCTCATTGTGGCCAAGCTGCTCAGTCGCATCCCAACACTCTTTATTCTCGTATGTGGAACGCTGGCCACGTCGGTGGCGTGTCTGCTGTACGCTGTCCCGATCCCACCGACCACGACATATTGGGCGTACGGGTTTCCCGCCATGGTACTTGCCGTCGTGGGCGCGGATACCTCCTGGCCCTGTCTGACGCTATTCACGTCCCAGGCTCTTCCACGGGAGGATCAGGCCATTGGTGGGGCGTTGATCAATGCCGTGGGACAGTTTGGCCGCTCCGTAGGCCTGGCTGTTGGCACGGCTATTCAAACGGCTGCCATGGCGAAGGCGCGTGGCGTTATTGTCAAGGAGGCAGGTCCTATTCGGCAGTGGGATGGGGATTCGCTTACGGGCTTGAGGGCCACCAGCTGGGTGAATTTTGCGTTTGGAATGGCCTCTTTGTTAGTGGTTGTGACGGCGTTCAGGAGCATGGATATTATAGGCAAGCCGAGGTCTGCTGCCACCTTGGTCAGGGATGAATCTGGCCGTGGGGTCGTCTCGACGGAAAATAGTAGTAATGACCTCGAGAGGACTGTGGCGGAGAAGAACTAGCATAGCTCGGCGAGTCAAGTGTTATGGATGTGCATACGAATACAGCAAGAAGCCATGATAAAATAATATGTTCTTGTATCTTTATATGACAATTCTGTATGTACTTGTTCTACTCGTGAGTGGTATCGTGTCTCAAAACTCAGGGGTATCATGCGCCTTTCTAAGCGCCAACAGGCGCTAAAAAGAGGTAAAGAGGAAAAAAGGGAAAGGAAGCACCCCATTCTACCCATCCATTCTAGCTTCGACATTGAACACATCCTCCGCTTCTATATCTTCCATTGTCTCCTCGTCATTGGCCAGTCTTCTCAACCGTTCCCGGACCCTGGGGTCCTGTTCCATCTCCTGCCATACTTGGAGGTCCCATTCCTCCACGTTATCGTCCAATCGGCGTATTTTCCACGGCGGCCAGAGCCACACGCCTGCTACCAACATGTTACGCTTGATAGTTTTGCCGACGAGTTCCATGAGGCCTAGAAACGCGAGAACAATAAAGACTGTCGCCCACCATGCAGCGTCATTGCCGAATGCGCGTGTAAAAGTGTGCCGAATTAGATATGGGCCCTCTGGACCTGGTGCATAAACGCCGTCTAAAAAGGACAGCCAGGCAAACCAACCCCATGTTGTGATGAAAAAGGAGCACATCACGATGGTTGATTTGTAGTGGGTTTCGAAAATGCTACCAACGTGTCAGAAACAGTCTGCTTTTCTGGAAATAAATGTGTGTGGGCTTGACTTACAATAGCTTCCAGTTGATCCACAGCACTCCTACGGTAAAAGCGAGAGTCCCGAGTGCGTATAGACCCTCGTCGCGAGCGGCCGGAGAAATCCAGCCGTACCCTGCCCAGACGCCGTACCAGGCAATGACACCCTCAACTGCAGCCAAAAACATCCACCGTACATATTTCCATGCATTCAGTCCCATGTTGCGCTGCCCATATACGTAAAGCTCCGGGACAGCAAGGAGTGTGCCGGCGCTAAGATCCTGTTCCCAAATGCCCATGCAAATTGTGCATAGGCTTGTGAACAGGGTGTTGAATACTGTCAGACTCGTGGCTTGGTAGAGCGATGTACCGGTGTATCCATTGTATCTTTGATACTGAGCAGTTGGTAAATAGAAGAACATTTCTTTCCAAAACGTGTAAAGAATAAATTTCGCCGTTCGAACATAGTTCCATCGACCATGGACGAGAAGTAGTCGTTGCAAATAGCGAAATTGCGCAATGGCGTAGTCTGCAACACGTGCAGCCTGAAGTCCTTCTTTTCCAGATATCCCAATACCCACATGGCTTGCTTGGATCATGGCCAGGTCATTAGCTCCATCTCCGATGGCCAAGGTCAAACCGCGATGCCTGTTACTCTTGAACTTGCCCAAGGAGGATCGCACAGTTCTGACCAGAAGCGCCTTCTGGGCGGGAGATGCGCGACAGCAAATCACCGAATCAACAAGCAGCATGATTGCGAAAAATTGCTTTGAAAGAGTATCGGACTTTTCAACAGCTGCCAGTGTTTGGCCATCGATGACGACGACGCTGTGTATCGAACCGGTGTGCAGTTCCTCGGCCAGGGTCATGAGTTGGGTTTCCAGCGATTCTTTGGCAACGTCCAGGACGTACAGGTCGGATCCAGGGCGACATATCCGCGCGGAATGTGCAATGTTGATGGCTGTCTCACGCTTGTCGCCAGTCAGCATCCAGATTTTGATGTTGGCTCGTCGTAGTCTGTCAATAGTTTCGGGAACCCCTTGCTGGAGCTTGTCTTCAATTGCAGTTGCTCCGACAAGATCAAACGACTGTTCAATCACATCACCCGCCGCCTCAATGAGCTCCTGTCGATTTACAAGACTGGTTGATGCGTCGTCGTAGCGCTTTTTCCAAGACCGGTAGTCATGCTCGGATACAAACTTTTGGGCATAGAGCAATGTTCTCAAGCCTTCCGTTGCAAAATCATCCAAGTGCTTGAAGCACTTGGTAAAAACCTCGGATTCGTCATATATGGTAGAGTCTTCAAGAAAACTGAGATGCTCTGGCACGGATTGCGGTTGGTGATGGCTCGATTGGCTTAGTAGCTTCGTTCTAGATACGTCCAAGGAGACTCCGCGCGGTGCAGAAGACCCGCCACGTAGACGGTCATCGGAGGGTCTCATAAGCTTGTGGATTTCAAACGACTCTCGTCTTTTCACAGAAGGTCGCTGCTGATCGATACTGCGGCCTCGGTGTACCCCGGGAGTTCGTCGTACGGTTAGACTCGGCCTACCGCCGAAACTATTGCGAGGTTCGTGCTGTTGGCTTCGGCGGTATATCTCATGTTCAAGATCTGCACTTTTTCTCACTTCATTGGCCTTTTGCAAAGCCAAAGAAGCTAATTTTAACCTGGGCAAAATCACCGAATCCGCACCTTTGCAGATGATCGATATCCGCCCATCTGGATACCGGACAACGATTGACATACGTTTTCGTGCGCTGCTGAATTCAATCACGTCCAAAATCTCGAATATCATTTTTTCAGAGCCCCCGTTGGGCAGAGGGACTTGCAAAGTGATTGATTTGGCTGTACGGCGGGTAACTTGATATCCCAGCTCGTAGGCGGCTCGAACCAAAGCTAACTCGTCCGGCGAGGATGCTTGGAAATCCATTTTGCCGTCTTTTACTTCAGGTAGGCAAGTGTGGCACAATGCAACCGCCAACAGATACTCTCTAGCCTTCCTGGCAAACGCGGAATGCGGTCGGATTCTGAGATAGTCAACGAGATCAGACGTATTGACGTCTGGTTGGATATGGTCTGGGCGACCGGTTGAACGCCATTGCGAGGACGACCGTCGGCCACCAAACGATGCCCTTGATGGAGACATTGGCGTCTCTAGGTCGTTTATTTGTTCCTCGAGTATTATGGGGGAAACAATTTCGGATTTTTGAAGTGAGCCTTTTCGGTCCAAGTGGCTTATCTCTCTGGGAAGTGCAGGTGGTTTCTGAATCCCATCATCATCGGTCTCTTCCAGGTCCATTTCATGCAGCCAAACGGTGCCTGCAACACTCAATTTGCGGAATTTCATTATGTTGTCCGTCAAGGTTCCAGTTTTGTCAGAAAATATGTAGCCAACTTGACCCAAATTCTCCAAAATGGTGTTGGTGTTGCACCGAGCTGGAGTGTCAGACTCTTCATGGTACATTTCGATGTCGGAATTCAGCAGCAATAGCTGACCAATCTTGACAATCTCCAAGCTTATGTAGAGAGCCAGAGGAACAACGTTGTTAAACATAATAATGAATGCAATGATGATTTGGTAAAAGGGGACCGTGGCCATGTCCAAATACCAAGCATGCTCCTCATAATCGCTTTTCCATTTGACATAGCCCATTGATACGCCGACGGAGAGAATAACAACATAAGTGGCAAGAGTTATAACAACCATGTTGACGACCTTTTCAAGTGCCGGCTTTTTTGCTCTCGGGTGCTGGTTTGAGTTCATGCGCACCTTGCATTCCTCTCCAGTGTTGATGACAATCCCTGTAGCAGACGTAGTATTTCTCATGACGCTCCCTCTGTAAATGACCTCGTTCAGCGTTAATGGCACAGCTTTTCCATTCACCGTGACTCTACCATCAAAATTGAACAGTTCAGGATTCGGGTCCTCGACAACAAACTCAGCTTGTGAGTTTGAGATTCCTTGAATCGTGCCACAACCCTCAAGGGCATGACAAACCTGCTTGGTTTTGAGGTTTGTTTCACCATCGAGAGCCATCGTGTCGATATATGCCAGGCCGTTTTCTCCATCACTATGCAATAAGACCAGGTCGGCTGGGATGGGTTCATCACGAGAGAGCCTCACGATGTCTCCAACCTTGATGTTGCTCCACCTGGTCGGCACCCAGCGAATACCCTGAAACTCATCGGCGGGGCCAGGCCTAGGTTTCGCTGCAGTTTGAATATGGAAAGGGTTCAGACGATGAAGTAGATGGGGTGGCTTGAGTTTGCCCGTGTAGTGGTCTTCTCGACCAAGGACTGTCGCAAAGTTGGCATTTTCCACCTTGTCCAATCGATGTCTCCTAAAATCGTCATACCCCTCCTTGGCGACTGTCAAGAGAACAAAGAAAAGCAAAGGCAAAATTGTTGTATAGGACCCAGTCGTCGACAATCCGGGAATCTGTGGTCGGAACAAGGTTAGCGGGACAAAGGTCGAAGGCTCGGCGGCGAAGCAGGGGGGGACACTGGTGTCGATGTTCTCACCATTTGCGGCACGCCAACACACAGAAAATAAAAGTTCCCCACGCGAGTGAATTGAAAGAACAGTTGCTTCGGAATGAAATCCCACACCGTGTATCGTGAGGTCCGAACATTGTTGGAGATGTATGTGTGGCCTCGTCTGGTGTCGATCAAAGGCTCGCTGTGCTCAATGGCAAGTGGGATGTGCCTTCCGTCTTCGGAAGAAGCCAAATGCTTGCGCCGAAGGATCAATTCGACCACAGTAGACTGATAGAACTTGCTGGCCGCATCACGGAGCTTGCTCTCAAGCTGCTGTATTGATGGAGCTCGAATCGCCGGTACTGTGTGTCGTCGCGAGGTGGATTCGTGGGTATTTTGGATTGGGCGCTTCTCCGTTGTGCTGTACTCACTCTCGGCCATGATGCGATTGGAAACGAATCAAGGAGAGCCGGAATCTTCCCGCTTCCAGCTCTTCAGAATCCCAAGAACGAAGGACAAGGGTTCTGAGGCGAGATTTGGGCTTAAAAAGCGAAGGATGCCAACGGCAAACCCAGGCCTTGTTACGCTGCTGCACAGCTCGACGCATTCGTCATGTCCCAGTGCACCGGCGAGAAAATACCCACATCCCGAGTGAAACCACGACGGCGCCTCGTATCGAAAAGATGGAGTCAAGGGACTATCGCACAGGCGCTTTGGCCAAGACAAGGTCTCGGATCGTGCGACGGAACCGTGCAATGCAGTGCTACGTGGTGTCTCGACTCTTTTTCTCTGACAGACGAACGACGGAGGCAGCGAATGAAGGACTTGTCTGCCCAAGATTTAGAAGGGATTTCGAGTCTCGCTCAGAGGAGGGCACGGTTGTATATAGCTCAATTGATTTGCTCACAGACTATGTGCTCCATGTACCTCCTTTTTTTACCAATGGATCATTGATCGACAGCAACACGCAATACATAGATCTACAACACCAGCTGCTGGGCTACGGAGTAGTCACGCCGTACGGATATTGACTCGAGCGAGATCAGGTGGCAGCTGGACTTGGCCTGGACAAAAATTGGTGGCCTCTCCCCTCTCAGCATGCAGCCGTGGTTGGACAGCGCCACTGAGACGGCTTCTGCCAACTGTGCGCCAATCCGCAAGCATCAAGCCGACCAACCCAGCCCCGGAACTGAGCACGCCAGGTCAAATAGGGGAACAATCAAGAACTTCCATTAGGCAAATGAGTCAAGCCACGTGGGGTGGCAATGGCGCTCGCGCCGGAACATTAATGTAGTAGTAATACAAACAGGGGACTACAATACCAATAGGCTTCCAGCCTTGGAACGTGGATGACTTGCTCATCCATCACGATGAACCATTCCACCGACCACAGTTCTACATAGCCTTGCCAATTCTTTGCTCAATCGCTTGGACGCCTGTATCCGACGACGCTGTCGTTGTCAATAAATGAAGAGTCAGTACGGAGTATACAGTATACAGTATTCAGCCGTGGTGAACTCATCGCAGGACATTGTGATCCAGAGCGAGTGTAAAAGATGCGTCATGGTTAGGTAAGTTCGGAAATGGCGGCTGTTGCTGGCTGTACAGTCTATGCTTATTGTTGAAGGCAATCTTCACTGTATGCCCAAGGACAGTCAACACTTTTGTTGCAGCTCACAATAACGCCGACAGAGAAACACGCAGAAGTTGTGGTATCAATCTTTTATTATCCGCTCAGAGCTATTTCTGATATCCCAATCTAGGCTCTTCTAATTCTTCTGCCCGGTGTAAGTACCTGAACCAGTTGCCTGACCGTACCAATTGTGCCTGCCAGTTCACAAAAAAAAACCAAATTCCCCTGTATAACGCCATGGCCGAATTGCGCTGCTGCTCGTCTAAAATAAAGATGAAACAAATAATAATTTAAAACAGCCTGCGATTTTCAAGTTCGCGAATCAACGACAACCACCTTCCAGAGAAAAAAAGCAAGGAAGGAAAAAAAAAAAGAGTCCAACACAGGTCATGAGCATTCGTGCGATATCCATCCGGCTTTAAACCAGAACGCCTCGGGTGTTTCCTCTTATGCCTGCAACTGAGGGATATTGTCCATACTACCACCGTCCTCAAGCCATTCCTTTTTGATGAGCTGCTCGCGCGCAGCAAAAAGATGCTTATAGGCTGTCTTCACAGTGCCGTCGCTAACACCCGCTTGCTTCGCAATAGGAAGCGATGAGCGAGGTTCGCCAACAAGGTGACAAGCCATATAGATACAAGCGGCAGCCACGGAGAGGGGAGATCGTCCAGCAAGCGCGGAGATGTCGTTTGCCTTCTCCGCCAGGTCTCGAGAAATCTTGGAAATCTTTTGTTGGCTCTTGAAGCCGAGTTGCGACACGTACCGGCTGCAAAGATCTTCGGCACCAACAGAGGTGTTTTCGTAATTGGTGACAGTGTTCAAGCCCGTTGCGCCCTCGCCCTCGGTGTCCTGCAGCTTTTGGAGAAACTTTTGCAGCTGCTTGAAGACGCGGCCGACTTCCTTCTTGCTGACACTGGTGAGATTGAAGATTTCACGGAACGTTCGCGGCACGTTGTTCTGCCGACAGGCGATGAAGATGCATCCGGCAATGACAGCTTCCTGAGGCTTGCCCTTCATGAACTTGTGCTTGTCAACAAGTTTGAAAATGTGCTTGGCGGCGTTGGAGACGTTTTGGCCCATGTTGATGGCTTCGCAGAGCGAGACAATCTCTTTGTAGGCCTGCATCAATCCCTTCTGCGCCTTATCCTGGCTGGCGTTGTTCTGGGTCCGGGAAAGAGCCTTGTGTGCCTTAGACTCGGAGAAGGCGACGGTCGTCGCAAGCTGTTCACCTTCCACAAACTCATCCTGAGGACCGCCGACACGGCTGGGATCATCGCCGCCATGATCGTCGTTGGCAAAGGTGCGCCATTCCGACCGCGTGTCGATGATACGGGTGCCGACGACAACACCACAGCTCTGGCACACCATGTCACCGCTGGAGAACTCTTCCACTAGGTTGGGCGGGATCTCTTTGCAGTCTGGACAACAAAGGATGTTGTTCAGGTCTTCTTGATAGCCTCCGCCATTCGCGTCTCCCCCCGGAGGAAACATTGTGGCTTCGTCTGGATTGGTAGTGCGACCGCTGGTCACCTGATCAGACCTTTACGGATTCGCTTGGCCGCTTCGAGTCTCGTCTGCAGCTCTCGTGTCTTTTCTTAACTACTGTCTTGCGAGCTGAAGGGATTAGAATCTCCCTTAGCCGTGGGGAAGACAAAGACGGCCGTGAGTAGGGCGTGGGAGAGCAGTGAAATGCACGCCGGCGGTCGAAGTCACATGACCCCGCCACAATTAGAAGTTTGCCTACTACACGCAGCTTCAGAAGCTAGTCCATTATTAATACGGCAAACGGGTCGTAAACCGTGTGATTAGTTGTAGTAACTTGAGTTTCTATTGTAAAATTTCCATTAGTCTAATTAACGACTAGTAGCTACCAGAAGCAGAAACCCGCAGAGTCTTTATCAGCAACTTTCCCTTATCATGTCTTGGCCTGCAAGGCAGGCGTCTCTTTGGATGCTGGATAGTATGGCACGAGCAAATCTTGACCAGCTTTAAAGTATATTTTACAGCGCCCAGCGCATTGACTACAAGACGCTTCTCGCAGAGGCAGCTCAGCGGAGTCTCACACACGCACGTGAAGTCGTATCGTTACCAAAATGGCACCTTCGCACATTCCATAAGAAGCCGGCGCGTGGATCCGAGATCGGCCAATAATGGTCCTCGCATCAGCATTTATCCACTCCAATTCCGTACCGCACGCTCGATAGAGTTGACATTGCAGCCGTCAGATGGGCTGACTCACGTTGAGCCCAGTTGGACATATTGCTGGCCCGACTATTTAACAACAGTATAACTCCATATTGCCAGCATCTCCTAGTGACACTGCAGTGATATTGCTCAGTCACAGGCGACGATGGCATCCACACCCACGCCCTCTGGCTCTGGCCAGCCGGGTTTGCCTCCAGTTGACTTGAAGCCGTTGTTGACCAAGCTCTGGCCCGTCAATAATGAGGTGACGGCGGATGAAATTGCCGATGCCATCTCTCATTTCTTCACAAACCAGGTGACCGAGGCGCAGACCGCTGCGCTGTTGATGGCCCTTCATTTCACCAAGTTGGATTTCCGAGCAGACGTTCTGCAAAAGACTGCGGCCGTCATGCTGGACGCTGCTGAGGACATCCCGGTAAAGGAGCTCAATGAAGTTCTTGCGAGGAGAGGCAGGAAAGAAGGCGCTTACAATGGCGGCTTGGTACGTCCCACGCAGTTCATCTTGCAATACAGACCAGAGCACGCCGTTGATAATTTGACATGTAGTGCGACATTGTTGGCACAGGAGGTGACTCCCACAACACCTTCAACGTCAGCACGACAGCATCCATCCTCGCCTCTTCGCTCCTCATGGTGTCCAAGCACGGAAACAGAGCCAGCACCTCCAAGTCAGGCAGTGCCGACATGATCAACAGCATGAAACCCAGGGCCCCGGTCCTGAGCGCCGTCAAGCCCGGCTCCCTCGTCAAGGTGTATTCGGCCACCAACTACAGCTTCCTGTTTGCGCCCGTCTTCCACACCGGCATGCGCTACGTTGCGCCCATTCGAAAACAGCTGCCATTCAGAACCATCTTCAACAACCTGGGGCCACTGGCCAACCCCGTAGAGGATGTCTTGGAGGCACGTGTGATTGGTGTTGGGAGACGGGACCTTGGTCCGGCCTTTGCTGAAGCGTTGAAAACTGCTGGTTGCCGCAAGGCCCTGATTGTCTGTGGAGAGGAGGAACTCGACGAGATTAGCTGTGCCGGCGGGACTCTTTGTTGGATGCTGCAGGAGAAGTCTCCCGGGGGGGAGGTTGCCATTGAGCGCTTTACCATTACCCCCGAGGATTTCGGCGCCACGCGTCACGCCCTCAGCCAAGTGTCGCCGGGCAAGGAAGCGGCTGAGAATGCCGACATCTTGCGGCAAATTCTCTGCGGAGAGTTCCCGGACAATGATCCGTTAATCGACTTCATCGCCATCAACACGGCTGCCCTTTTTGTCGTGTCAGGCATTTGTGAGGCCGACACCAGTGACATGGGACACGGCGATGATGGCAAGGTCATTTTGGAGCGCGGCCACGCTGGTCAGCGCTGGAAGGAGGGATTCAGGAGAGCCAAGTGGGCTATCAAGAGCGGCCAGGCTTGGAAGCAGTGGCACGCATTTGTCGAGGTTACCAACGAGATCGGCTCATGATGGATATCGGAGTCTGGCACTTCCTGTACATTTTGCACACAACATCTAGGTTTACCTGAGATGAAACGGCCTTGGGGATATGTGCTATCCTACAGCGCCATGTCGAGCTTGGCCTCGAGTCGGCAGCTCGTGAATACTACAGCAAGGCCACGTCACATTATTCATTACCATGTCCCCTTCAGTATTGCTCCATGTCTCCTTAGTCGTCTCCTCCCCCAGCTGCTCATACATTTCTCCTTCTCCTACTTCATCACAGTGCTCGTCATCAACAGCTGCCTCTGTCCACCCCACTCGACCTGCATCTGCGGCCCTGTGTTACACCCTTTGCTCACGTCAGTGGTTTCTTCCTCCTCTTCCATCACCTCTTCGGCGCTACTCAGCCGTCTGCTGTCCCGGATTAATGGATCAGAGGCTCTATGCGCAGATGGTGGGTGTCTCAGCATCATCACGCTGGGATGGCGAGTCGGCGATCTTGACTTGTCCCTCTGTAGTCCCGCCTCAAACTCCTTCCAGTCTTTTAATAAAGAGCCCGTTTTCTTGATTTGGCAGATGTGGTCTCGTTGACCATTGTTCCTCCCACCTCGGTCTTCTTTATAAAGGTGAGTCGCAGGCCCAACGCGCGGCTCGTTTGATGCCCCCCGGCCGGCCAGCGACTTTTGGATAATGTAATTCCTTTGGTCCTCATCTCCGGATTCCAAAACATTGCTTACGGACATGTCGTGCGCCCTTTTCGGTAGTTTCGCGCTCGAGGGTTGAGGATCAATATGATGGACTTGGCTGTAAGATTGTTGTTGCTTGTATTTCAGGACAAGGATAACGAGGGCGGCAGCAACGCCGGATATGATGATAATGGCGGCTATTATGGTGACGACGATCCATATTCCATACTCTGGAGTCTGGTCTTCGTATGACACTCGTTTCGACAAATGCGCCATGGTGATTGTGTTTAGCGAAGTGCCACCACCTCAGGCTGCTCATATCATGTGGTGAACATGGCCCAAGTCTTGACTCGGAAATGGGGGAGCGTCTAGAAATACGAGGGGTCATGAAATTTGTCACTTTGATTGCTTCATTTGGCACCAATCACCCAGGGTGTCGACTGTGCCGCGCCTTGTCTTCTATTATTGGCGGATTGCGTATGATCAAAGCGTGGGGTGGAATGCAAGACAGAAAGAGTGTTTGTGGAGCAGGAACAGGCTATAAATGGCATGTCCTCTTCCTTTGATGGGAAGACTTGTCATTTAATTTTATTATTATCAATACTACTTTGGCTTTTATCTGCTAGTCAAGCGGATAGAACTGTACATTTGGCATGTAGCGCAAATCACGACAAAACAACGGGAATTGGGATTTGCCGCGCTATTGGACAAACAATTCAGGTCATGGCAAATAAATGATTAAATGATACCGCGACATCTCTTGGTGCTCCAAGCATTTTGCGGCATCCAGGGGCGCATGGATCGGTCATTTAAGAATAGATTGATGATGTGGACAATGACCTGTCTAGCTAGACATGTTCAACACTGCCGAACGAGGGCTGCGCCTCCATCTTGTAACCGCATTGGCCACCAGAGAGAGTGGTTGAGTATTTAAAGTAACAAAGTTTTGCTCGTCATTGGCCCTTGGAATGCAATCGAAACAAGATGCGAACCAACAGAAATGCTTTGGGGCAACGTCGATGCCGGACCAGATAGGCATTGTCGGCTTTCGCTGGTGTGCCTTGAAGCCATTGGGGCACATGATTGGTTCTCGGCAGGCCATATTAGGCGCCTCGGCCCCGGATTTCGAACCAGACCAGACTTGACATGCTGGCTCAACCGCGAGGAGCCGGGACCCGCGGCCAGGGAACCAGCGGTCAGGTCAGGCAGCTTGAGCCGTAGTGCCTAGGCAATCTGTGGCGGGAGGGGAGCCCCTGGCTGCCTGTCCGCCCATGTGGCCCCTAACGAACTAAAACTAGCACCAGCTCAACCGCCCAACGGTGCACCAATTGAGGCAACCTGACCGCCCCAATTGAAGCCCTTCCCCCCGGGGCGCCGTTCTGTGCCGAACCCCACTGTCCCTGCTTCCCCCGATTCCGCTCCACTCATCACCGAATATCATATCCGACATGCAACTTCTCCCTCGCACTTTCCACATGCGTGTTTCTCCTGTGCTCCTCAACCTTCTTTCGAACCAACTCGCACCTCAATCACGCTGTTGACGACACGCGTACTGGCAATGTCGGCCGTTTCCAGGTGCATTCGGCCGCTGTCGGTGGTGCGGTCCTCGCGTCTCGCCAATGGCTTCCGTCGCTATTCAAGTGCAGCAAAGACCCCGCTGCCCCTCGAAGGATATCGCGTGTTGGACATGACCCGTGTGCTGGCTGGTGTAAGTGCCTTGAAGTCTTGACCGCCACCAGCTCCGACCAAGGGCTCCTATCAAGAGCTCCCATCACGTCACGCCGCCAACATGGTCAGATAGACTTTGCTGACACCACACCGCCATGATCCAGCCATACTGCACTCAAATTTTGGGTGATCTTGGGTAAGCTGAGCTTTCCTCACAGCTGCCCAACGATAAACTGTTGGACATCGTCTTTGCTAACCTGCTCTCCTCAAAATACAGTGCCGAGGTCATCAAAATTGAGCATCCCGTGAGAGGAGATGATACGCGCGCGTGGGGGCCGCCATATGCCCCCTACAAGCCGGGTACAAAGGCAGACGGCCCTGGAGAGGCTGCATATTTTCTCGGGGTAAGCCCGTCATTAATTACCTCCGTCTTGCCATGTCGCCGCCTTGTAGCCGACAATGAATCCAGGTTCTGGCCCCGCTGACATCTCGTGTCACAGGCCAACCGAAACAAAAAGTCACTGGGTCTGTCCTTCCAGCATGCAGAGGGGATAGATATTTTGCACAAGCTTGTTGCCAAATGTGATGTCCTCGTCGAGAATTACCTCCCCGGCACATTGAAGAAGTACTCGATGGATTATGAGACTGTACGCAAGATCAATCCCGGTCTCATTTATGCCTCCATCACCGGCTACGGGCAAACGGGGCCGTATGCCAACCGCGCCGGTTACGACGTCATGGTGGAAGCTGAGTTTGGCCTAATGCACATCACCGGCCAGCGAGACGGTCCTCCCGTCAAGGTTGGCGTAGCCGTTACTGATCTTACCACAGGCTTGTATACCAGCAACAGCATCATGGCAGCACTTCTGGGCAGGGCCAGGACGGGCAAAGGCCAACACATTGATGTGGCCTTGAGCGATTGTCAGACGGCAACCTTGGCGAATATTGCCAGCAGTTGCCTCATCAGTGGGAAGAAGGACACCGGCAGATGGGGCACAGCGCATCGTGAGTAACTGCACCCACGTTCAAAAGACGGGAAGCTGACAGGCCCTAGCCTCAATTGTTCCTTACAGATCATTCAAGACCAAGGACGGAGACATCCTCTTTGGTGGTGGGAATGATCGTCTGTTTGGCGTCCTATGCGACGGCCTTGGTAAACCTGAGTGGAAGAAGGATGCAAAATTCAAGACAAACGCGGACAGAGTCGCAAACCGCCAACAGCTGGAGGCCGAGATTGAAGCCGTCTCACAACAGAAAACCACAGAGGAGTGGCTGCAGGTGTTCGAAGGCAGTGGTATGCCCTACGCAGCCGTGAACGACGTACAAACCACGCTGAACCACGCCCACACAAAGGCGCGTAACATGGTTGTTGAAATGGAACATGAGACTTGTGGTCCAATTAAAATGGTCAACACTCCTGTCAAATTCTCTGAAACCCAGCCGTCCATCCGCTCCGTGCCACCTATGCTTGGCCAGCACACTGACGAAATTCTCGGTGACCATCTTGGTATGAGCCAGTCGGACATTTCAGTCCTGAAAGAACGAGGGGCCATATGTTGAATGGAAAAAAAAGTCTTTTTAAAATAACATTAGACATCTCATAAATACATGTAATACATCCATCAATCTCATCTATATACGGGGTATATCGCCACACATTGTTGTCACGGTGTAGGGCTCATAGGAAATCACGTGATAGCCATCCGCCGAGGACCTGGTCTGCAATTGTCTCCAGGCTCACTCGATCCATCGAGACACCAACTCCCTCACTGGGCTCCAGGAATTTATATTTATCGTTCATCGCCAACGGGTGTCAGATGAATTTGTCCTTTTCGGTTATCGGTCACCATTTCTCCGGGAATCGGCACATATCCTCCATGCAAGTGTATGTTTTAGCCAATTTCAGACCATCCAGATGATGGCATCGGCACCAGAGACGCCGGTAGGGGAGGAATGCATAGCTGTCAAGACTATGGATTCCGACCGCACGCCTTCAGTCCCCCCATCAGTCGAGATCAACGTCACACAAGACAATTCAAAAGAGATTGTAGGCCATCGGATCGTTAGCAGCAATTATGCGCCGCAATTTGACTCGGCAGCTGCATTCATTCTAAGTCGGATTCGAGACACCAAGGACAACCTCAAACCACCCAGGGGGGGCTCATCAGGTATGCTCAACAAGCTTGGCCGAAAAAGGGGAACGATAGAGGCTATGGATTCATGGACAATGCCGTTGCCTAATGCCTCTCCTCCATCCTTGCCTCTTACCTCGACGTCGCATCAGGAGCAAATAGCTTCCATCTCTTCCAGTTTAAAACGCAAGCGCGACCCTGAGTCTGAAGCCCCTGACTTTACACAAAATACAATCGCATGTCCGAAGTCAATGATTCATTCTCATTCCAAAGTCATCGCATCGTCTCAGCCATCAAATGCCGAGAGCAGCACACCAAAGACCGCCTTGGGGAACCTCCAATCATCAATCAGCCTTTCAAGCCAGGCCGCAGTTGACAATATAAGAGAGAAACGGCTTTCAGCTATTACGGATGGCATTTCTCCCGCAAAGTCAGAGTTGGTGGGCTTTTATGCTGAACAGGCATCCGATATAGCCGTGAGTTCTGTCAACACACTCAGTCACAACGCTATATCAAGCTAACATTGGCACTTGGAGCGCACACAATATTTCCTGGGGAAAAAAAGGACAGACTTGCTGAATATTCTTTCATTTTGCGACCAACTTCGACCCCAACTTCTTGCTGATATTCTGGTGTCAGTGTCGAAAAAACATCCGGACTTGCCAATTTTCGACTCCCCAGACTGGGAGAGGTCGATTTCCCGTTCTTTAGACGCCCAGATTGCTGCGGCAATTCGTCGTACCCGTCCGGCTGGAAGACCTAGACATGGCCACACTGTACACAATCCGAAATCGAGACAACGACAAAAGAACGCAAAAAAAGAGTTGAAACGTCTAATCAGATCAGAACATGAGGCTGACACACCAGAGGACGAAGACGTCGAGGAGGACGTGCTCCCGTCTACTTGGCCAAAGGCCGGAGAGGGCTTATACTCTAAACTACCTCCAGAAACCGAGGACAGGACATTCCTAGTCGACGACAATGATGACGAATCGTTTAGCCATTTCATGGTGGACAGCCTTGGAAAGCCAATGATTGTATCGACATGTGCTTGAGGGCTTTTTTAAAAATTGTGGGTTCTCTATGTTCATGCTTGTATAATGTAGCCCTCGTACCTATTATATACCCCATGGATTCTGAGCAGCAAACGCTGACAGGATATCCTCGTCACCGAAATAATGCAAATAACGAGTAAGGTCCAGTGCCAACGTACCTTCATTCACTTGCAGTCACATGTTTGAAATCTCCTATTTGATGCCAGGCGGGGTATATTACAAGCTATAGAGACTATTTCATCGCCTCGAAAAGAAAAATAACTATTTACATCGTTGCGGACATGAGACCCGACGCCGAGACATTACCGGACACGAACGCTAAATCGTTTTCTATTAACTATTACAGCAGGCGCTCTCAAACAAGACCGTTGATCCAGGCCCTCCACACATCATGTCTGACAAATTATTTGCAGTGGCAGTCGAAGGTAGACAGAACAGTCTTGATGATACCGCCGACGAGACAGAGAAGGCCTTCAACCACCACGTTGACAACCACCTTCAGGCTGTTAACAACCAGAATGACCTTCGGGAGAATGCAAAAGCCAACAAGACCGGTGATACGACCACCAAGTTCGCCTACAACATCAATATAGTTCGGGCAGCCCTTGGTGCAGTAGGCAACGCAGTCAAAGTTGCACTTGCCAAGGCCGAGCTTGCAAGTGAGGTTCTTGATGATGGTCAGAAGGCTCAAGCCCAGGCTAACCTTGACGTCGGCGTCGACAACAGCAAGGCCAAGGACGTCTGTGTTGAAGGCAACAACGGCATCGACGACGCTTTCGAGGTAGAGGCCAGACAGAGCACCGCACACATTCTTGAGATCAGCACTGATGTTGGCCTTGACGTCGATGTCCACACCGGCAACGAGCTCGGCCTCGATAGCGGCGACAGCTACGAAAGCCACGGTGGAGAGGCTGGCCTGGCACCATTCATGGCTGGCGTTGTATTTGACGATCTTGGTGGGAGAGGCAGCGCAGAAAGTGCCAAGCTTGACGTCGACAGAGGCGTACACCTTAATATCCGGCTCGGGCCAAGCGCCAGTAAGCTTGTCACCGACACAAGCCTTAACATCAAGGTCGAGCTTCTGACCAGGAGCGCAAGAACAGGCCTTGGTCCACGGGCAGTAGCTCATGCTGTGGGGGCATTGATAACCCTCGTGGGCTTTCTTAGCGGCGCTGATGCTAACATCGAGATCAGCCTCGGCATCGATATGAGAGCCAAGCTCGAGACCGGCTTCGACGTTGGCATTGAGGCCAACGGCGGTGACAGAGGCAAGACCAGCCAGGCTGGCGAAAGCAGCAATGAAACGCATAGTGTTTTGGTTCGGTAGTCTGATAAAAGCAGCGACTAAGGTCAGAAATCAAAAGAGCGGATGGATGTTCAGAAACGAATGAATGACGAAGCCGAAGCGTTCGAGGGTTCTGGAGTTGCTGTTGAGGAGTTTGGAGGTGAAGGAGTGTGAGGAACCGTGAGCTCATGAAGAACCGCGCATGGACTTTTATAACATTCACGGACCGTGCTTCTTGTGATTTTCAGCTGCCTGTAAGTTGTCTCCTATCTCAAATTGGTCGAAGCACGGCGTACAACAAGGCCCAAATTAACACAATGTGACTACGGCCCGCCACGACAAGTCCACTTTCCATGATGCGAAGCAATTCTCTACGCAGACCGGTCCGCCACCCCGGTTGACCAGCTCGAGACCAAAGATTATCGTGGAGGATATCAAACAGGGCACTCGCCCACGTCCCTGGTCCAATTTAGCTGGAGACAGTGCATTTCAGCCACCAGCTAGTGGTCACCGTCACACGTACTCCGTACAAAGGGCAATTGATTTGAAGCAAGCAAGGATTTCTCTCTGGTATCTGTGGAGCCTGGCTGCGGCCCTCGTAAGGGACGGTACGAATCACTACATTTACCAGGTGTAACATCAACATGATGACGGATTTCCACATGACAGAACAGGGGGTTACGAAGTATTTGGCAAACACGAAGCAAACATTGAGGCTGACAGCCACACAAGATGCAGGATATGCCGGAGAGAAGATTAGCAAGAGGCCCGTGGACAGCGCCAGCCATCTATGCCTCCCATCCGATTGGGTCTGCATACCATTTGGACCAGTTACACGGGCCGACCCAAGAACCCAAGAACCCAAGAACCGGGGGGGTTTTGCAGCAGCTATCGGAGAAACTACTTGGGATGACAGTTGCATGAGACTCCTATGCTATGCTATGTCGGTGATTCTAGAAGATGTTACGGAGTGGTGATTGTTTCGAGGTCGGACTTGCAGACATGGAGTCCGATCCAGGGACTCCGGCCTTGACTCGTGGAGGCCTTGTCAAGTTGTGACAGCTTGGCAAAATGGGTGCTTGTTTGCCGGGGCAAGACTCAAAGCGCCTGTTTGCTCCTGATGAAGCAGTGGCGCGGGCCAGGCAAGCAAATCAGGCCTATCCTTCATATCCTGGACCACTTCTACTGCGGCAGATCCACGACATGACGTGTCCCTCCGAATCCTGGTTGACGTTCTCCATACTCGGTACCACGTAGCAAAATATGGCGTAGTACCCCGTACCGAGCACTGGCAACTCAACTGATTTCTCAGCCCAGCCGGTGGAAGCCATCTGACAGCAGGCTAATATCTATTCTTGCCCTAGCGGCACATCCATCTTGGCAGCAGCCTCTTGGATCGCCACGTGAAGCCCGGCTCGGAGAGATGCTAAACCACAAGGTTGGTGGTGGCGGTGGTAATTTGAATGGCCCGCTTCAGAGACAATGCCAGCAGGAGAAGGAGAAAAAAGCAAGTTTCCCTTCATGCCCAATGCCTGCCTATTCTTGGTCATAGGGGTCAGGCAAGACTAATGCTCATCACAATGTCTTACAGTAATGACTGGTTCGACAGCGTGAGAGATGGCTTCTTGGCAGCCAAACAACTGACATGCCATGCTGAACAGGGCTGGCGCCTTGTGCTAACACACACAGCCTGTTACCCGCAAACTACGGAGTAAGATCAGCGGCCTGATACCCCAGAAGCGGGAAGGGGGAAGGGGCGTCTGTGTGGAGCGCAAAGTACTGGGGTTGGTAGATCCCGCCCTGTGTTGGCGGCTGCAAGGGTGTGAAGATTGAGGAGAACAGCCACGACTGAAGAAATGGACACTGACCGATAAGCCGGCACGGGGACTGAACTCTTGGGTTCTACGGAGTACGAAAAAAATCATAATCTCTCATCGGCGCCCGTTCTGGCTTGGATGATTCAGACGTCTCACTGCTGGCCCATCGCGCATGTGACAATACCTGGGTCATGCAGCCACAATTTCCCGGCAAGCTACGATAGATTGAGGCTCAGAGTGGTCTCAATTACCGTTGCGTGGTGTTCCTGAATAACGTGGTCTCTAGTGTTCTCAGTGTCTCCGAGATGGCGTCCGAGATGATTCAGAAGTCGTTCATCGACCGTCTGAACAACGCTAGAAGCACCTTGACGAACCCTGCGAAGCAATCTGCCAGGTACGGTGCATACAATTACTATGTGGGATCGACAAGCCGCCGGACTCGCCACAAAATATCCACTTCATAATTTTCCCAGGGAACCAAAAGCCCCTCGGGCTAATATTGCTGTTGAAGTGGGAAATATGCCTCTTGGTGCGCACATGCCCGCGTGGCTAGACGAGCTAGGCCATTACTTGGCTGCCATTTCGCCATCTCAGAGGTCAAAGTGAGACAACAACAAATGGGACAAGTCACGATAGTACCGAGTACTATTGGGCACATGCAAAAAAAAAAAAAAAAAAAAAAAGGTACGGAGCACAATAAACACACACAAACCGTGGTTCGATCTTCAAAGCCGGCTCATTTTCCCAACGCATTGACATCCCATGACAAATGATACATGTCGTTTTCGGAACCTACCTGCCGGACGGTAATCCTGTTAGTCGACTCCTAACAAGGACCCTGCCCCTGCCCGACGACCAAGTCAAGGGAGCCGCCTGGCCATCCAACTGCTCGACTACTCGTGCCACGCCCCACCATTAGGTAATTCAGCTACAGAAGCTCTCACCACCTATGGTGGTGCTTATCACCAAGGCGGGCACATTAGCAAGGCGGGCACTTACATATAAATATTACTATTAAAAAATAAAATAATATTAAATAAAATAAATAAAATTATAAAATAAATTATATAAGATATATTAAATAATATTATATAATAAAAAATTATAATTATAATTTTATGTACTTTAATTAATTAAA